CATGCTCAACGTTGCCCCCGATTACATCAGGAGTGCAGTGTCTGAGAAGAGCACGAAATTTCAACTTTCACATGATGGTCGGAAAATCAGATGGCGCGGTGGTACTGAGGGAACCAAGTTCAGTAGCGACAGCTCAGGTAATACCTCTCAGCTCAGTCGCTCCGACGAGTCCGACGAGGCACAACTAGACAACCAGAGCAAGAAGCGCAAACAACGCTCGGGGAAGAATGGTTCTTATTCCACTTCATATGGTAAGAACTCGTCCGACCAGTCGAAACCGGAGTATCCAATCCCATCGGCGGATACTTTCCACTACAAGCCAATGTTCGTGCACCAATCGTCGTCTGCCGAACAGACTTCACTGGATGATGTTGGCTCGTCATATGGAGTTGTTGAAGATAGCAACAACGGAGAGTCGCGATGGGATGGATCGGGATCCTCGCGCCGCAAGAGACGTCGTTTGGATGGTGCCATCATTTACTACAGCGGTGCTCCATTCTGTACCGATCTCTCTGGCGATCCTGGCGATGCGTCCCCCGCGTCATACATGACCTCATCTGGCCAGGACCAACAGCTTTCCTCTAGTGCTGGATTCCTCAGACCTGATCTCCCTCGTCGCACCGAATCAGGTTCGGCGCTCCCGTACCGGCCGCTTGTTGAAGGCCGTAAAGCCCCAAGTGTGGCTGTCACAACAGAAAATGGTTCAGACGAGAGTGATGGTGGCATCGAGGCCGATTTCCCCTGGTCTAACGTCCCTCAAGACGCTGTGAGCAGCAAGCTGGACGCTTGCGGTCTGGGTGGTGTTATTCCCGATGACCACTTTGTTGTGGTCGCCACCACGAAGAGGCCGAAGGTGGATGTGAAGCAGGAAACGACGATCAGCTTAGAGTCTGAGGAGTTTTCCAAGTTAATCAGCAGAATCACATCGCCGCTTGGGTCTTCCGGATCCCAGGCACAATCAGCAAAGTCCGAGAGTCTCAAGAAATCACCGATCAACATCGAATACACGTCTAAATCTGTTCGGAAGCTTAACCCTACGCCTCTGCCGCCGCCGGGTCTCTACTTCGACTTCGACAGCGACAGCTCTGGCAGCTCCGACGATGATGATGACGAGTCCAACTCGGACGATGATTCAAAGGTAGGGGGCGTTGTAAAAGCTCACGCCCCTGCTTTTGACAGACAGTATCCTGACGATGCACAGATGTCGAGCGGCGACGAGGGCGACAGCGAGCCGGAAAATGGAGATGAGATGGCAGGCATTGTAGAAGATGAAGATAGCGGAGCCGACTTCAAGATCCCAATTCCCCCTCGGGATCTCCGTCGCACCAGTAGCAGCAGTGCGGTTGCGGCCGCCGGAACTGCCAGAGGTCGCAGCAATAGTGCTGAGCTTCCAGTTGCCGCCGGCAGTTCAGCCGCCACTGCAGGTGGGGCGGAGAGCGGCTACAGCAGTGGCCGGGAGGAGAGCGGTTCAAGTTGAGGAGAAGGTGCGTTGAGCGAGCTGAGCAGAAATGGCTTGTGTTTGGAAGAACAAGCAGGACTGCTGTCGGAAGTGCATCGCGTGGCGCTTGGTTCATTGGGATAGATTGGCACGATATATCCCTCATCATGTTGGAAACCATTGTTTCATCCTTCGTCCGTTGAGGTTTTTGAAAAACAGCGAACACAGCCAGTAGCAGGCACCTTCGAGGCGTTTTTCTATTCAGCGATTTAGTTAGGAAACCAACTCAAATGATACCCGAATTCACTTAAATACCTGGCCTCGCTTCGTTGACTTTGCGAATGCTGGAATGGGCTCAAGTCTGAACCATTGTCGTCTTCGGCCCGTGTATAACTCAACTCAGGGTCTACTCAGGACGCTTCTAAGGGAGTAGTCCTACGAAGTCAGGCTAATTGATACATTTCATCAATATTCTATTTTACTTGCACATTCGCCATCTTCTTGAACCACATGTCGATGCCCTGCCCTGGATGATACGGGTTTGGCTACCAATGCGTTCGAGGTTCTGGACCCTGGCCTACGAAGGAGAGCATAAAGACTTCGTAGGACTTGGGGAGCAAGAACTTTCTGGGGCTCAGCTTGTGGTGTTTCTCTAGTGGCGAAATATGCAGGTTCTGTAGGATCACGGATTTGATCTGCTGAGCGTCGATCCAGGTCGGTGGGATGGGCTTGGTTTCGTCATGCGGTGTAACCCGACGCAGCCTACAGCCTTTCACGTTTGCGCGGTGATGGTATGATGGAGCGCGAACTGCGGCCTAGAGAACGCCCGGAACCCAAGGGCCCAGGACTTGATAGGCGGCGAAGTGTCTGACACTCTTCGGTGTGTTGTTTCCTTGAAGGTGGCTGTGGGTTTTGGAAGGAATATGGCAACAATGCCACGCTGTCTGACGACTCTTCCCTTCCCCGGATCCCCCAGAACGGCGCGTCTTGCTGCACCCGCAACGCTGTATTTCTAACTTCGTCTTCCCCCACAAGGCCTCTGTGATAGTTTCATCTCGATAAGCGATGGACTGGACTTACCTTGTAGCAAGCCAGAAAAAAGTCCCATTCACAATCATGACGCAACGACGACAGCAAGTCGCTCAAAACGTCACCAGTCGGTACTTGAAGAAGGCCAGCCTCCAGCAGCTCCTTGAGAAGATCTTCCCGGGGCACACTGATTTTGAGATTGAGGTATGCCTTGCCTTGCCTTGCCTTGCCTCGCCGCAGGATGCATTCGATCGAGAATGAGATTTACTGAGACCTTGCTCGACCACAGATGAGGGATGACGTTTGGCATTTCAAGGCGCCGAAGGAAGTCGATGCCGTATGTCTTTTCTTGCTCGAAGCCCCCCTTCAACGGGGAAAGTCTTGTTTGGGGAGTTCGATGCTGACGAGAATTACAGGACACGATAGAGTAGGAATCTGCCGGATAGTTTCGAAAATGGAAAAAGCAAAAAAGAAAACATGCTGACGAGAATTGATAGTGCGGTTCGAGATCAATGACTTTGACCGATGGGGGGAGTGAGGGGATGGTGGTCCAAGGGATGGATGGGCAGTGCAAGTATAGTGACATGCCAGCAAGCGTCAGCATTGGCTAGAACTCAGGAGGAACAGGCAGGCAGGCAGGCGGCTGATCGCCCTTGGGGTAGACAGTTCTCATAGCCTCACAGTGGAAGCAGATCAAAGTACATAATAAGCAGCAGAAAGCAGCATACCGCCAACATCCCTTTCTCCTTACATGTACATCCTTACCTCAGCCTTACCTGTCACACCGGCGTTGTCCCGCAACGTCCATGGCGCCGACGCAACAAGAGTGCTTCGTCGAAGATGTCATCGAGCCCATCCGCATCTGCGGCGTAACGCGCCTGCCAGCGGAGGGCGGTAGTGATGGTGAGGAGGAGAGGGTTGCCAAGGTCAAGCACCAGCAGCATGCCATCGCCAACTTCGACGAGCTGAGCATATGCCTAGAAGACATACAGAGCCGCAGCGAGGAGCATATCCATCATTTCATGTACGTTTCATTCTAGGTCGTCATCGTCGTCGTTGCGGGAGCCCCTCTGAACTTCCTAGCCTTGCTAACGTTGAGCAAAAGCTCAATCTGCCAGCGCAACTCATGGAGGCCTCTACAGATCACCCTCCCCATGTTCGAACTCATCATGGAGAAACTCAGCTTGAACGGCTCGTTACGGGATATCGTCTCGTGCTTCTATACGCGGAACATGAACGTGGAAGAGGTGTTTTGTATGCCGTATACCGAGCGGCGAAAGGGATCCGTGGTCGGTGTGTAAATGCTTTCGAGTTCCCAAGACCCATCTTACCGGAAACATGACGCGGGACTGATAATCTGACAGAAGCATCGTACACAATTCGATACCCCGAGTACAAATCCGAAGAGGATACGTGGGTGATTCGTCAGACGGGTGTATACCACCGCTGCGACGCGGCGTCTCGTCAGAGTCTCTTCGTCATGATCAACCCGACGCCGAACTCACAAGCCAGCAACCGAGCCATCGAATGGCTCTCGAGCAGGAATAGCGCAGCAGGCTCCGAGACCGAGACGCACGATCATGTCTGGCTGCATAAACTCGTCTTCGAGACATATTTGCCCGCGTGGAGGTTCTACATTGCTTCAATGGAGCGGCAGTTTCTACCGTTGGTGAGAGATTCGATTCAATGAAACGCGCCTTCAAGTCAGCTCTGCGAGCCTAATACTTGATGCTACAAAACAGTCATACAAAACACTAATCAACTTCATCGACGAACCTACCACAATGAAACCAAGCCATCTCACAAAACTAGCCAGCCTCGCGAACCGGTTCCAGACAATCTCATCAATCTTGGAATCGTCCGAGGAGACGCTATCGGAGCTATCTGCCCTCTGCACCCACCGTCTGGTGCTGCCAAAGGAATCATCCATGGAGAATGCAGACAACGAAGTACTACAAGGATCAGCATCAGAGTTTGAAAACTTCCGCCGCCAGTGCAGAGCCTTCTCGCGGACGGCGGCGGACCTGCACCACCGCGCGCAAACGACGTCGCAGCTGCTGGCTAACACGCTCTCATTCCGGGAACAGCTCGATTCAAGGAAGCAGAATGAGAACATGTTGAGATTGAATAAGTCGGTGGTGTTTATTACTACACTGACGCTGCTTTACTTGCCGCCTTCGTTTATAGCTGTGAGTGTTTGCTTGCCTGCCTGATCACCCACCCCTCCTTCTCTCCGTTGCCCGGACGCTCATGGTAGCTTGCTAAACCCTTTACGTGACAGACATTCTTTGGAATGAACTTTTTTAACATGGACACTGTGACTGGCAAGATTGTCGGCAGTCCGATGATTTGGATATATGTGCTCTGCTCTGTAGCGCTCACGACGCTAACCTTTGCGACGTACTACACGATGCGTGAAGGAAGCTACCTCAACGCTAAGATATTGGAGATGAGAGACCTGGACTGGCGCAGGTTGTTGTATCGTAGGCAGCACGACGACAAGGACGTCGAGTTAAATAGCCTGGAGGTTTAATCAGGTGGAAGACCCCGGGCCTGCGGATGTAGCGTGGCTGCCAGGGAGGTTGATCTCGAAGACGGCGTGCCGACTGGGTCCCACAAGGGCAGTGACGAGGATATGTCTGCTGCCGTCATCGCCAACGATGTTGCCGGTGAACTCGTCGTCTTCAGATAGACTGGGTAGCTGAGCCAATTCGCGAACAGACACCGGGCGTCCCATCTCGGGTATTACGATCTCAAGCAGACGAATCCGACCACCATCTCGTTTGATTCCCAGTGCGAAAATGGCATCGTTGTTCTGGTTGACCATGACTCTGAGGATGCGGTAACCTTCAATGTTGTTGGGGTATCGGGATCGCCTCGTCGGTGAGTTAGATGAGTTCGCTAGCAGATCAACGGTGAAAAGACGGGTTTCTCGGGACACGATAATACAAGTTGCCTGTTGGTGTAGACCAGCAAATGTCGTGAATAGACTTGAGCCGTTGCTCTCTTGGCTCTTGCGAGACGGAATTGGGTCAGTAATATGGCTTCCCTGGTGATATAGATACAAACAACTGCGGGACTCACCCGCGGCTCGATGGATACTTCCTCTATATCTCTTGTTGTCAGAGAATATGAAACAACAGGTATGTGATGTATGTCGTCGTTTCTAAGGTACGGGCGAATCGCCGCGTAGCAGCGGCCCTGGCTGGTGAGTGATAAAGACATCACGTCTTCGGCAGGCCAGTCGAGTGCGATGAAGCGGCCCAACAAGTTTCTGCCACACTGTTCTATCTCATATCCCTCTGAGATAGATCCCATCCTGATCTCGCGGTCAGCCAACTGATTACGAATACTGGCAAGTTAGACGCAAGTAGATAAGCGTAGGAGACTCACTCTATCAGATCCTCGATTCTCACATGGAATATGGATCCCGATAGGCTCTCGTCTTCCTGGTTCTCCACTACGAAGACCAAGTTCTGTTGATCGGTTGACATCGCCATGATGTATACTTCCGGAACGGTTGGAAGCCGAATGTGCCAATGGTTCTGTGGGCTTGAGTCGGCTGTAGCCCCTTGCCCTAGATCGAATATGTAACACTGCCAAATCGAAGGTCAGCAGCATGAATAGGAACTCTGAAATTGAAACCTACGTTGAAGATGTTACCCGTGGTTGTGGCAATCAGATATCTGTTAGTCAAGCAAATAGCTTTCCAAAAACGGCTCGTCGATCCCAAAGACTCCAAAGAGTGATCCCCGAGTACCTTTAGGAATTCTCCATCTGCGTTCTCGGCAGAACTTGGGGCAAAGAGTGAAATCTTGCTGTCGCTCCAGTACGCGATCATACTTCCATCCGGTGACACCTTGCAACCCTTGAAAACATCAGAATTGTCTCGCGGGATGCGCCATCTTTGCACAATCTGCTCCATAGAGGATTTGGGCCTGGAAAGGGTTAGCACTCTGTTTCGAGTGACTTCAATGATGCTCATAGCTCTACGTACGGTCTCAAAGACTCTGAGGAAGATTCGAGCCGATCAATCTCCTCATACGCGTCGAGCGTGCGTCGCAGCATATTTTCGACCTCTTTTGCGCTGCATCTCTTGTTCTGATTAATCTTCAATACTTTGGACCCGAGAAAACTGAGCATGCTCCGGACTGCATGATGTTCTTTCACGCTTCTCGCGGCAGCTTTGTGAATTAGTTGCTTATGAACATTCTTTACAGCCGAATGCACAGAAGTGCGTCCGAATGATTTGACGTGGAAGAAGACGTCGTAGCTTGCATCGATGCCTCTACGGTTTTTGAGACGGTTGGTCTCGTAATTGTCGATGGCGCTCTTTCCGCCCTCGAGATAAACGAAGAGGACGCTCAGAATGCAGCCCAGTGACCACACGTCGCTTCTCGTATTCATGACTTTACCCTCACGGAACGACTCGGGTGGTAGATACGTCCCCTGGCCGCGTCGATTCTGTGTTCCTGACATCGCCCTCTGCTGCATATCGCGTCGTTTGGTGAACCATTTGGCGATATCCTTTTCTTCCTCACGGCTGGTATGATGTCGAATTTTGACCCTTGACATGCCAAAGTCACTCAACTTCCAGATATAGCGGGGCCCGGTCCCATCGCCATTGCCGCTTTCTCGAAAAATGAGGACGTTGCTCGGTTTCAGATCCATGTGGTAACAGACTATCCTGTCGAGGCCGGGCGTCTGCATTTCTTCGTGAAGAAACTTGAGACCGTTGGCGAGACCGATTGCGGACCGGATGAAGCCTGCCCTGTTGATCGCTGTCTTTGGAGCGTTCGACCCGTCTTTTTTCATGTACGCTCCCAGGTCGCAGACCGCGAGCGGCATGAAGAGGCTGTACGGCGCCGGGCTGGCGCCCGTTGGGTACTCGATGTTCAACGTCCCCAGATTCTCCATAATGTTCTCGCACGTCTTTGACAAGCTGAGAATCATCTTCATGATCTCGCCTTCCTCCCTGCTTTCAACATCGGAATCCGAAGACGACCTGACAATGTAGTCTTTCCGAGCCACCCATCGTTCCCTGTTGTCATTTCTGCGGCGGTCTTCGAAATGCCCCTTGGCAATCTTCACCTTGTACACTCTTCCAAATGAGCCCGAGCCCAGAAGCTCCTCTTCCACGTACGGTAGGCGCTGGGTATCACCGTCTTGTATCGTAGTCTCCTCTCGTTGCCGAAGCACCACCGTACAGAATAGGGCCTGCGATCCATAGAACTTATCGGCTGTCGCCTCGTCCCCGTCAAAGAACTCCGTCAAGCTTTGACGGTCGGCTGGTAACAAACACACGCGCCTAGAGATCTCACAGTCCTCGGGCGGCGGCCACTCGGGAACAGCAGCTAGCTTCTCTGTGAAGTTCCTGGCTGCCTCTATACGACAGCCGGCGAAGACCAGTATTGCGAGGAATTTGTGTAACTCCCTACCCTGTACATTTTCAACAAATTGGTTCTCTGTAATGGAAAATCGGCGTCCATTGGGTGTCTCTCCGCCGATCAGGCTGCGGAAAAAGAGTCGGAGATAGTGCGGGCTCAAGACACTTTTCGGTGTCTCGCGGGTGGCGAAACGTAGACTCTCGCTGTTTTTCCGCTTCAGGTGCCCCAAGAATAAATTGTGAACCTCGTGGCACAAGTCAAGGTACTCATGAGAAGACATGGTTTGTACCACAAGTGTCTTATTGTCATAGAGGCGGCGTTTGCATGTTCGCGGACCCCCCCTCCCGGAAACGTGAATGAACGAGGAATTTGGTGAGTAGAATCGGTCAAGGAACGAGAAAAGTCAACAGTGATCCTCGAGTGAACTGCCGTGTTGGATCGAGGAGGGTGACATTTCAAGTGGCGCGGCAAGAACACACATCATCTGCAGACTGCAGCCGGTTCATCAGGCGGCATGCAGAACGAGGCAACTGCTGACTGCGCCCAGGTTGGCGCTGACCGCGTGCCGCACCCCAACATCGGTGCTTGCTTATGGCTTTAACACTCAATGTTCCGCTGTTCCGGACGTGAGGTGCAGCATTGAAAGCTAGCTGGGGTCATGGAGGTTGGGCACTTAGAACCGAGAAAAATGATAGCCTGCCATCTGAAGTTCAATGCTCTCTACGAAGATACTCATGAGATGAAATATTGTCAAATGTGGGAATCCTGAGACCAAGCAACATGTGAATATGGCATTTCACCAGGTGTCTCATTTCACTCTCGACCATACGTACCTCTGTTAAGTACGGTCATCGATAAACCCGTCAGTACCTTCTAATTCCCTTCTTTTCCTCTTGCGCCTTCTCCTGCGCCTGCGCATTAATCTCAATCGCCTCCTTCAGCTTCGCAATCACCTCGGGCTGATTGCTAAAAGCCCTCAACAGCACCTCATCCAGCTCCTTTTCGACCTTGCCAATGGGCTTGACACCAGGTTTCCTAGCCCTTGCATCGTTCGTCAGTCCGCCCCAGCGCTGCGTGAAGGCGACAATAGACTGCCTCAGCAGCTCGTCCAGCTGCTCGCTCATGTCCTCGACCGTCAACGTCTTGGCGGTGACAGTCGCCGCGCCTGCCGTCGCTCCTCGGGACCAAAGGGAGCCGCCAATGATGTTGCTGACGAAACCCATCCAGTTCTGGGGGCTGAGGTTGTCCCAGATGTGACCGAAATGTTGCATGGCGGCCGTGTCGCCTCGGATGTCTCCAATTTCTAGAGAGACGAGCTCGTTTTTGATGATGAGGAGGTTCTTCACCATGAACAGATCGGCGTCCGTGCCTGCCTTGATGGATTTGATCCGCGCCTCGGCGCGTTGTAGTATCTGAATAGTTTCCCGGACGATCTTGAAGATGACCTGGCTGTTCTTTTGCTGTGGGATGATTAATTCCACTCCAAATAGTCGATACCCGGGGGCTATAAACTTACACTTCGTTCCTTGGGCATGGCTTGGTCATACTTGGCCAAAAGCTTGAGCGCTTGCTTAACTGGGGGGAAGGCATTTGAAGAAGAAACGCCGCCGACCACTGGGCCGATAGTAAGAGACTCATCTTTAACCGTGGCCTTGGCGATCGTCTTTGTGATCTCCGCCTCAAATGTGTTGTCTGTAAAGACCCATAAATGTTCGGTCAAAAGTCTGGCACTGAGTTCACGGCATTGACGCGCGAAGGGAGATTCTTCCTCGTCGTAGTCGAGAACCAGATACTCATTGGTCAGCCAGCCGACCACACTACAGATCGTGTCGAGGTCCGCAGTCTGCAGTGCAGCATTGAGATTGGCGGCCAACTGGACGAGATTCGCGGGGTTGACGAGCGACCTCTGGTTAGACTTGAGGACCCCATATGCCGACTCCGGATCGGAGCTCCACTGTAGATCCAGACCGAAGATTTTGGCGAATAGATTGGCTTCATTGAACGCGCGTTCGAAGCTCTGCTTGATGTAATTCCTCGAAGCTGTCTCGACGGAAAGATCTTTGATCTCCTTTTTGAACTCGCCCTGGTCGTGCTGCACTATGGGCTTCAAGTCGCGGTCTCGAACAGCCAGGTAAGAGCTGAAGAGATTGCTCGTGGTATTCGAGTAGATGTCCTTGGCAACGCCAGTGATCGGAAGCCCGTATTCGTCGTACACGCTGTTGATCACTTTGTGGATATTAGGGATTAGAGAGTAAGAATCAAGAATCATCTCCTCGAAACGCCCGTATGCCAAAGCATGACGGGTGGCCTCGGACTTGGTGCCAACAATCTGGCTTGCGATCTCGGAGGAGATGCTCTCCAGTCTATTGGTGAAACCGACTTCGAGAAGATGGAGTGCCTTGGTCAGCAAAGCCTCGTATCGAGCCAGATAGGACTCGGCGTCACGGTACGTCGTCTAGGTTTGTCAATCAACCTCGATTCGCGAATACCCTTCATCGCAGAAATACTCACGTGTTTCGACATGAAGCCGATACAAGAATCTAGGTTCCTCAAGATCTCGCCGAAAGATTCATCATCAACCAGACGTCCAGCGCCAGGAGCATTGAGTCTCCTAGAGACATTATCGAGGTATGCGTAGAAGTGAAGATCAGTGCCGACCTCGTCTGCAAGTTTCTCGAGCCTGTGCTGTTCCGACAATAGGTCCTCGCACTGCGACTGGAACGAACTCGTCTGTGCTTCGACGGATTGGAACGATTCAGACAATGTTGTCAACAGCTTGAGCGCTTGATTCGTATCGTCGATGAGCATGTCGAGATGCCGTTCGGTGAGCGTCAGTTGGTCCTTGTACAGTCTACTCTAGTGATTAACAAGGGCAAGTTTCGTGCGTAGCTGGTCCCTACTCACAGGTATTCTTGCTGACTAGCCTCAAGCAGTTCCCCCTCGTACTGGCGATGAACCGGGCGAGGTCCGGTCTTGGATTCGGCAACGTCTGTCGCAATATCTAGCGCATCCCATGTCTTTTCCTTCTTCCGCCTGCGCCTCTTGTGTTGCTCATCCTTAGCTAATTGGGCTCGAACGACGTGGTAGAAGTCCGAATAGGACTTTGCGCGGCGCAAGACCTCGGCTTCCGGGGGTGTGTTTCGGTCTTCAATCTCTTCGAAGATTTCGTCGAGAGCCTCTGGCGCATTAGAAGCTTGGGGAATACCCTTATGGTAACATCAACTGTCAGCACGCCGTTGCGGTGGTGATGGTTATGGTGACGGTAGTGGGGTTTGGGAGCTAACATTGGATTGTTGCAACAGTGACTCTTTGCGACGATGGCCTGGGCCTTGGGCAGCCGTGCTAGCTTTCTTGGCCACCTCCGGCACGAAGCTGTACCAAGAATCGTCGTACATCGTAGCTTCGCCTCAAAGTCGTGGAGGGGCTTCCGGGACTGGGGTCGAGAGTGAAGGGAAGCTCTGGCGTGAAGAGGGCCCCGATATGGCGCCGGGTCGGTGGTTCCCACCACCGCTCCAAACGGGACAGCTCAGCTCCCTTGGGCGTAAACTGGGCGGAAAATCATTGGCCCCAATTGCGAGCGGTTGGAGCTCAGAGGTACAAAGTGGGGCCCGCATGCTCACCCGCAGCGGGGCGCACGGTCCCTGCACTGGCAAGGGTCCGGGAGAGTCTACTGAGCAGATTAAGCTAAGTGCTGGGCGAATCGAAGTTTTAGTTTTCGTTGATGACCTCACGACCTGTAAGCGACTACACCTCACCTCACCTCACTTCACTTCCTCACCCAGGAAGAGCCTATCTTTCTCATCTCACTGGAATCCTTTACTTAATGCTCTCATCATCCCAAAAAATAATTGCACTGACACCACTCTGTCCAATCAACTCTCGTGAGCCCGAAAATGAAGGCTTATAGGGCAGCTGCACGCAACGCAGGCACTTCTTTTACAGCCCAGAGATGCGCTGCTGTAGCTCGTCGCTACGCCAGCTCCGGGCCTCGCCGGGCTGGTGATAGGTCGGGCATGGGCAAGGGAAAGGCATTGCTTCTGACCGCAGGAACTGCTGGTGTCCTGTACTACGCCGACGACTACTTCAACGGACCCCTGAAGCAATACTTTGGCTCCGAGGTTGAAAAGGAATCACCCGACGTGCGGAAGCCAAAGTACCAAAAGGCCGAGATCAAGTTTGAGGAGGCGAGGAAGGCGGCCCAGTCAAAGGAGGAGAACCGCGATCTCATTAGCTCGCAGCATCTCCAGGTCAAGCAGAGCTGGGAGAACCCGGGCGTGTATGCCTGGGGAAGCAACGTTGGCAAAGTGATTGACCCACAATCCAAGGAGACTCTCGTCAAGCTCCCGAGACGGATCAAGTATTTCGACGGCCAGCTACTGAGGGACATCAAACTGTGTCAAGATTTTGGCGCTGCTGTCACGGAGAAGGGCGATCTCGTCCAATGGGGCCTGGGCTTCTCGAATACTGATCCTGCGCCCGTCGAGACGCTCAAGGGCAAAGACATTTCCAAGATTTCCATCTCCAACGACCGCATCATCGCACTCACCTCCAGCGGATCAGTATACTCGGTCCCAGCATCAAAGACCGGCCTCGCAGCAGGAAAGCAGTTACAGCAGCCTCAGCAGTCATCATCATCCTGGATCCCCTTTTGGAGCTCACCCGAATCTCAGTCCGTCAAGGCTAGAGACCTGACCCCCAAGAACCTCGCCTGGGGTGAGAAAGTAACAGACATCAGCAGCGGTCTCCAGCACAGCCTCCTCCTCACCTCAAAGGGTCGCGTCTTCTCCGCGGCCTCGAGCACGGCAGAGTACCCCTCCAAGGGCCAGATGGGCATCCCCGGCCTGAGCTGGACGTCCCGCCCGGCCGGCCCCTTTGACCAACCCCAGGAGATCACCGGCCTCTCGGGCTTCTCCATCGCCAAGATCGCCGCCGGCGACTTCCATTCCGCCGCCCTTGACAAGGACGGCAAACTCTTCACATTCGGCGACAACACGTACGGCCAGCTCGGCCTGCCGGCGGACCAGGGCTACCAGAGAGTCGACGTCCCTTCCCTCCTCCCCACCGCCAAACTCTACGCCAACACGGGCCTCATACCTACGATCACTTCCATCTCTGCCGGCGGCAACAACACCTTCTTCACCGTAGACGCCACCGAAGCCGTCAACGAGAACCCCTTCGCACCAGCAGCGTCCGTCACCGGCGACATCGCCCCCGCCCGCCGCATGCCGCGCGTCACGGCCGACTTCTGGGCCTGCGGTCAGGGCGTCTACGGATCCCTAGGCACCGGCAAGTGGACGCACGTTACCCCGGGGCCAGCAAAAGTGAAAGCCCTCTCCTCGCTCTTCGAGTTCGACGAAAAGGCCAACCGCATGGCCCCCATCCGCCTCGCCAACGTCTCTGTCGGCGCGACGCACGTCTCGGCGACCATGGACAACGTCACGCGGACGGGCGCGACGACGCGGTCCTCGGACAATGACACCAACTGGGGCGCTGACGTGCTCTTCTGGGGCGGCAATGAGCACTACCAGCTCGGCACGGGTAAGCGCAGCAACCTCAATGCGCCGGCGTACATTGGCGCCCTGGACGGTGGGGCAGGGGACGCCGTCAACGGTCGCGGGGGCGAGGTGCACCGGTTCCAGCTCACGCCGCGGCAGACGGTCCGGCTGGGTAAGGACGGCAAGGGCAGGAAGGTTAGTCTGGAGCAGAGGGTGGAGTGTGGGCGGTTCGTGACGGCCGCGTACTCTGCTGTTTGAAGAGGCTCTTTGGGGTGGGTAGAACGAAGAAATGGGCTTCAAATGGGCGGCTATTGTGGCATGTTTCATGACTTTTGGCCGGGCATCGTCGTCGTCGTCGTCTCTTGATTCGGCTACCAACGCACGAATGAGAGGGGCGCGATGAACTGTACTATTAGGTATCGGGTGGCTTTCACGGCTTGTAAGGATATAAAACCTTGTAATTACAACTATAGGAAGAGGGGAGATACAGGGAGAAAGCTCCAAGGCTTCCTCGGAGACCTTCTCAGAAACCATATTCGGGTCATCCGCGGAGTATCTCGTCGATATATCGGAGAGACTCCATATCCCCCGTATCGAAACGCGCCAGAAATCTTGGCAAGAAAATTCAACTCACACTTTATCGCAATCTTTTGACAAGCTACCTACATGTACCTCGATCCATGTGTTGAACCCGGGGTTTTGCCGTTTCTCGGCGTTTTTGTTGCTTCTTTTTGTCTAGCGCAGGATGGTGAATCATCTGAAGTCTGGTCTATGGCTTGGCAGGTGGCTTCGAACCACGGAGAGAAGGGGGAAAGGGGGGGGGGGGGGGCGCTGTTCAGATTTCCGTTCCATCGAATGATGTCTATCTATCTACCTGTCCGGTTCAGAAGAGAGAAATCTTCGGGTTTGCTGGTCAGACGCTGTGGCCAGGTATTGAGTCTGGGTTATCCGAGAATCCGTATCCATGTCATATTCACACAGTCATAGTCATAGTAATTGTCGCCGTCGACCCTTTGTCCTTTTGACGCGCGTTACCTGTCAGAAATGGAGTGGGTGGTCTATCGGATACACTCTGGCGGCGCAAGAGAAACTCTGCCGGAAAGCTGAGATGACGGCGGTCCCAAGCAGGTGTGTTGTAGGTAGTGGTGTACTACACTTACCTCAATAGCCGGGGCTTGGCAACGCCGGCTTGAGAAGTGACGGGTTCTCTCCCATCAGTCGCGGAGGAAGTTCTACCCGAACGAGACTTCTTCCAGAAGGTCTTGGTTGCATTCCAGGTTTATGACTCGATGGAGGATATACTCGATGTAAGCCAGTCAGCTACTCAGCTGAACAAGAGCGATACTCAATACGTCGACAAGATGAAGGAACCAACAACGTCTTAGTTGTAGGGATGAATGCTCGCAGCTAAACTTAGCACCTCGCCTTCCCTTTCCCTTCCCCTCGTACGGGCCAATAACCCGGATGCAACGCGACGACATGACTCTCTCACACCCTCCCCCAAAAGCTGAACACGAAAGGTCGGCAAACCCCCGAACCAACACAATCCCGCATACGCACAGCGGGAGAGACGGGAGCGGGGAGGGTGCGCGTTAGTCGTCAGCTGAGGCGGGCGGGCGGCGGGCCATTACGATCTATTATCCCGTAGGTAGCGCCACCCAGAACAACGCTAGAGAGAAATGCGACGTGCCTGACTCTGACATGCCCAACGGCCAAGAGGGGGGGGGGGGGGGCACGCTACTAAGTTGATGCAGCTGGCCTGCAGTAGCAAGCGTGGCGAGCAACGGTTTCCTGGTGCTACTCAGTATCCATACTCCGTGCAGACTTTATTCAACGAACTTGCGTTAGCCGGTGGAGAGAGAGTTGGGCAACGCATGGAGAGGTAGGGTAGGTAAGTATGTGTTTCCGTACAGATACGTATGCACATCGGGCATCTACCTTATCTGTAAGGTACGGGCGGCTGATTCGATAGCGCGTCCAGGTGATCGGCAGACTCTCAAACTCTAGAAACCAGATATCGTCGGGCGCAGGCCGGACAAATGGGACGATCCGAGAATGGGACCCGATATTTCCAATAAGCGCGCCTCTTATACTACGACCAAGTTCTGCAAGAGTGGTAAGGTTTTACCTAGTCGCCTAGGTTTTTAGCGACAGCGGCCGTCAGCCGTCATGGGGGAAAGGTAGACTCGCTGGCTCGAAGCTTGATTCTCTGCCGTGTTAGAGCTTCACTCAGCTAGAAATTCTAGCACAAACGCGGAGGGTGACAAGAATACGGTAGGTCTGCATCCGTCTTCCTTCATGAACCGTGGTAGACGGAAATGCCGACGGTGTAACCGTTCAAAACTTGCGTGGCCCCCTTTCCGTTTCGAAGCGCGGTTCCAACCTGACAGAAACCTTGAATCAAAGGCAAGAACCTGCTGGGTTCCTCGCCTTGCCTTCCATTGCCTGGGAAGGTGGTACGGTGGAACGGTGGCAGCAGCCTCAACAGCGGGCAGGCACGCACGCAGTGCAGCGGTGCTTCCAGTTCCTCGGGACGCGGCGGCAGGGCGGGAGGCTAAGGCAAAAGAAAACAGTGGGCCGTTCCCAGGTCTCTCTTTCCATTTACACAGCAGTGTACTTTCGCAGGCGGAAGGGGCAGGGGCAAGGGACCCCCCCCCCCCACCCCGCCTTCCAGAATGACTACCTACCTCAGTATAGCCTGTAAGGTAGGTACGTATCCGTTAGAATTCATTGGTCTCCCGAGGATTCGGCGGACCAAGAAGCCGTGCACTGGCTGCACTGCCCGAGATTGCAGAACATGGGCAAACGTTCCAATGTTCGATCCAGATGTCGTTCATCCCCCTGCTCTGCTGCCACCCCCTGTTACAATGGCGACTTTGCATCGCCGGTTCGACCTTTGATCCATGGAACGCTGATTCGGCTTCGATTCTTCTCGCCCAATCGATGTCCTCCCCCCGTCGGTTGCCTTCCTTCGGCGCGGAAACAGAGCGTTGCAACGGGGGGAGTGGACTTTTACCTACCTTTCTTTCTTTTTCCTTACGCAGGAGGACTCCAGGGAATCACCCAACTTCTGGACCGTCTTGCCGCGACCTCCTATTCTTTCTGTCAAGGACGGTGTATTTGCGAGCCTGTATGTACGCCTCATGTTGACACCTCTTCCCATCGTCTCCCACTTCTCTGCTACTCTGCTTAGCTGCTAGCCTTAGCCGTCTGCCGCTTCCAGGTTGCTAATTCGCGTTCCGCCGTGGGGTGGGACACTTGGACTAGGTTCGCTCCCAGTTCCCGGGGAACCGACAAGGGGAGAAATAAAGAGAGAGAGGGAGGAAGAGAGCATCTTCGTTGGAGTACCCGTAATCCGAACGGATACCCGCCTTTTTTATTATTACAATCAAAATTTCTACCTTCTTCTCATCGTGGCAATTTCCTCTTCCGAGCCCTCCTCGGGTAACGGGTTCTCTTGTTTCCATCTACTGCTCTGTATCTCTCTTCTCTTTATCTTCCTTTCCTTCTTTCTCGTCTCTCAAGTCTTTTCAAGAGATACTACTATCCGCGCAGCACTACTACACCTTGGTCACCCATAACAGCAACAAAAGACCACGCTACCCTGCATTTCTGCCCATCTGGCATCTCCTGACGGGCATCCTTCGGCACGTGCCTCCCGAGTGACACAACCACACAACCAAACTCGGACTCGTGACGCACGAACTTTCCCACTCCCCCTCAGAGGTCCATCCATGCGACCACTTTAGATCGCCAGGAACGACACTTTTCATCTTTAGTTTCGTTCCGTTCCGTTCTCTCCTTACCACCACCCACCACTACTACTTTATTATTACTACGGACCACTCTTCTTCTTCTTCTTTAGCTCCATACTCCGTACTTGCTGTTTAATTATCACGACGCCCAACGCACGACTCTTCCTCACAACAAAACTTCATCCTTCAGCCACCCCTCTCTCTCACGCTCTCACACAGTCTCTCTGACTCTAACTCTCTCACACGTGCATAAACACACCTTACACACACACGCACACACGTCCATCCCCTTTTGGACGACACAAGCCAACCAACAAGAAGGACGAAATTCCCCTTAATACTCCGAACGTCTTACCCCAACCCGCGCTTAAAGCTGCTGCTGGGCCGCTTGCTTGTTGCTCGTTAAGGTACCTCACGGAGTACTTGCTGCAGCTGCCCGACCTGCTGGGCCGCCCCCGAATTCCAAAAAAAGAAAGACTTTCCTGTAGGGTGCCCGCCGTGTGCCGCCCTTCGCCCGCGCCCTGCCTGCCAAAAAAAACCCTGACGACATTCCTGCCTACCTCACAGGCTCACGGCCATAGTACATAACCAACCCGAACCCTTCGCGCCACGCCCCCAGCCAGCCGCTGCAAAACCACAACTTCACGCTCGTCAGCCTCACTGTTGAGCAAACGTACTCCCTTCTCGTTGCCTTGCGTCTCGTCGCTTTCCCACCGCTCCATCCGACTCGTCCACTTCGCTTCACCCGACGCTCCTTCGCCACGTCTCGTACTACGGTAGCTGGGTTCAAAATGGACCACCTCCCCAAGTTTCGCAGAAAACCAAAGATCCCGACAATCTCCACCACAGACGTAAAGACCTCTCCGTCCCGAAACGGCATCGACGAACAACAGCCGCCTCAGCAAATATACCCTTCCACAACCGTCACCGTCACTGGCGGCCGGTCCCCGACCCCGACCAAGCCCGGCCTGCGCAAGTCCGCTTTCCGCGGTCTGCACCTGCGCAGCTCCGGCAAGCGCTTACGATCCCCTCCTCCGGCCTCCCTGCCGCAGTCGCCGCCCCCCGCGATCGTCTCCCACGACGGCATCACCTCGTCCCCGAGGCCAAAAGATAAGGATGGCAGTGGTGGTGGTGTTGGCGCTGGCAGCAAAGACGACTCGGCCTCGTCCGGGAAGAGCAGCCACGAAAGCTTCAGGCCCAAGCCGAGAATACCGGCCTTCTTGAACCTTTCCGTACCAGGTACGAAACCTCCGTCTCGTCGCAGACTGGGAGGCGCCGGTCGGGAACTAACTGCTGGGATCCCTGCAGATTTAGACAATAAGTTCCAGGAGCTAGTATGGCAGGAACGCATCCGTCTGGCTGCCGGCATGGCTCCCGATGCTGACGAGACCACGAAATGGGGCTCTTACAAGCAGGTTGACATGCGCAGAGGCCCGCAAGATCGTTACTTCAACATCAAGCCCTGGAACCACAACCGCATAAAACTGCGCGTGCCTGCAGAAGAGCTCGACTACGTCAACGCCTCGACGATATCCCTCTCTTCTCCCTCGAATAAGGAGCTCCCTCCCTTGCGCTACATTGCGATGCAGGGTCCGACAGAGAACTCCCTAGACTTTGTCTGGCGCATGATTGCGGAGCAACTCACAGATCCCGTCGTCATCGTACAGCTTACCAGCTTCTACGAGAACAACCAGGTGAAATGCTACCCTTACCTGCCAATGGACGAAGAGCACGAACCCTGGGTCATCAACGAGATGGACGGCTGGAGCGATGGCTGGAGCGCTACGCTGACCTTTGACTCTCTCCTGTCCCTCGAGAACGGCGCCATTGAGGTGCGCAAGCTCCTGCTGCGCGTAGGCGACGAGGAAGAGGACCGCATAGTCTGGCACCTACTCTACACCAAATGGCCCGACTTTGGCGTCCCCGCCGTCGACGACTTGTCCAGTTTCTTCACGCTCATGCGTCTGTCGCGCGAGTACAACACGACCTCGGAGAACCCGCGCATCATCCACTGCAGCGCGGGAGTAGGACGAACAGGCACTTTCATCACTCTGGAGCACTTGATGCGCGAGCTCGACGAGGGAGCGCTTGACGACTACGATGGTGCCGGCGAGGGCGACGACCTTATTTTTGCGACCGTCGATGCCCTCCGCGAGCAGCGCCGCAGCATGGTCCAGGCTGAGTCGCAGTACTTGTTCCTGTACCAGGTGCTGCGCAAGCTGTGGCAGGAAAAGTACGACGTCGAGGACAGTGACGGGGACAGCGAACCCGCAGCTAAGAGGCTGGAGGTTGAGGACTCGTCGACCGATTGAGTGACGCATGCCGGGTTTACTTCACTTGACGGAAGAGTAAGACGACTGGATTAACGGCCGGGGATGAAGCACGGAGATACCCCTTTTTTTTCTTCTTATGGAAAGGTTGAAAGGACATAAACAATTATGATTTAATCGGCAGACTGTGGCGGCATAGCATGTGTAATTTCGATAACTTGTATATCAAAGCAAGCAACAGCATTACCAGGCGTTATGATTTGGGAGAAAGGGGGAAAGGGGGGACCAGCATTGACTGAGCAGGAGGAAGCAAGCGTATATGGCCCGGTGATGGAAATTGTAGGAGTATTCTGAGGCGATGAGGGAGGTTCAATGATTCCGGGTCATAACCAACGGCTCAAGGTCGACGAAGCCTCGAGGGCAGAAGAGAGTCCAAGAAGGACTTTGAGTTATGATGGTATTTTCGTGACGAGAAGGAAAGAGACATCATAGGAGTAGTTGCGGTTTACGTGAGCCCCCCGTCCGCCTAGAGCGGACCAGATGGCTACCTATGAAGTACATACATACCCTTCCTCTATAAGAGCAAGAAAAAGGAGCATCACCATGAGAACGCAGTCTGTTGCGAAAGTGTGTGCGGAGGTTGCGCTGATAATGTTCCCAACAAAGTTAGGTTAGCTTTTCTCCCTTTTACAATTGGACTGCTTTTACTATTATCGCGCGTTTGTTCCAATGAAGCTCAGCATAATCTGCAAATGCGTAGAGGCAAACAATGGGACGGACAAAACGACATGGCCCCAATGCGGTCCCAAAAGAAGAAAGAAAAAACCACACTCAACCTAAGTCAGCGCCTTGATATTCTGACTTCCCAAGGTACTGTATGTAGTTTGAACCGACCGGAAGTCATCTCACATAACTTGGCCCATCTTCCCCCAATAGCTGGAGTGGAGAAAGGATCAAGTTTATTTAGCTCGAGCGGCTTTCCTCTCATGCTACCCGGCTTACAGCTGAAATCTAGTAAACTGGGCCACGCTTCGTTCCATTCATTCCAATTATTTCTTACGTTCCTTACCTCACCTCACCTAATCCTATGGACCAACCACAAAAAGGCAACTCTCACTAACCGGTAGGATCCGGATAGAAGGGACAGGGTCAAAGAAAAGAGGCAAGGGGGAAAGGGGGAAAGGGGAAAACATTGAATTCTTCAACGAACAAAAGCGGGCGATCGACCGCTATCGCCTTCGATGCCTGGCGCTTCTGGTGTTCCCTGATTTATGATAGCTCGTATTTCCACGGAATCGGCCATTTTCTCTCGCAAGAGAGAGGCGATGGACGGATGTGATGTGATGGGATGGGCCAGGCTTGGGGGGGTGGAGTGATTAGTAGTAACGACAACGACGGGTTCACATAACTTGTCCCCGGGTTGGCGGGTTGTCGCCATGTCGCCGAATCCGAGGCATGGAAGAAGACATCATCTAGCATGGCTGCTACATCTCGAAGGCGAGAGGGAAGAGGAAGCCAACATGATGATGTCGGACCGACTTCAGACATACCAACCCTCGGCCGGCAAGAGACCTCGGGATGCGATGGAAATCCTGCCCCCCCCCCCCCCCCCACCCCCCAAGTCTGCGCCTCTGTGCCTCTGAAGGGCAGTGAAGAAGCGACTATTGCGAACGGTCAAAACCCAAAATCGTGTTTCCCCTTGTCCCCGGCGTCGATAGCGAGGCGCTTTGCGCCCGTTTCACGCCTTCATCGACAACTCGACATGGCATGTCACCGTCACATGGGGAGGAAGGGAGAGCGGGCGGGAATGACATCCTTCCTCCATAGCGCTGACCGGTTCCGGGGACTCCCGTCTCGGTGTGAGATTTCGAACCGGGGTTGTTGGTCAGCAGCCCTCCTCTTTCCTGCGTCCGGGGTTGAGGGTCGTGGGACGGCACAGCGGTAAGGGAGGGTGGAGGGGGCGGCGGCCGTCTCTGCGTCTCTGGGGTATCTGTATGGAGTTTTTCGCGAAGAAGAAGGATGAGCGTGGCCCAACCCACAGCATTCTCCTGCGAAAGTTGCCGTCGTATTGTGTGATACGGAGTACAGAGTACAGGCATTAAAGATGACAGCGCGCTCAGCGGGCAGGTTAGGCCGCGCAGTATCTTTACCCCATGCTACCATGTGATGGTGACGGGAGAAATTAAGACTATGCCAGGCAGTCAGAGTGTAATGGCCTATGGGATCGCCATGACAGCATACTGAAGTACCTAGCCAGCAAGATCAGCCAAAAATCAGTATCCACGGTTGATGTTTCGATGCTGGCAGAACACGAATGCTCGGCCGTCTGGGAACTTCAGTGAGCATGATCAATGGTCCGAACTTTCTCCTTGTGATCAATCCCAAGAGAAAAGAGTGGCCGGATAAATCGAGGCCCATGAACCCAGCCAGCTCGCTGGGATTGTCAATCCTTGTCTTTTGCAACGGCGGATGATGAGACCCTTGCTAGACTTATTTCACCCAACGTTCCGGTCACCGGAAATGAAGCAGAAAATAAACTCTGGTGTGAACATGCTCGGTGAACATACGCCGAAGACTTTCTACTGAGCGTTGGGTATCATCCTCCCCATCGTGTGTTGGCTTTGGTGGAGACCATTTCTAGCGCCCGGCTAGTGGTCAATTGTAGGTGTCTCTTGGCCGGTTTCAATGGACACAAGTGGAAAAGATGAGATGAAAGATGCCTTGATGGTCCGATGTGGACCTCGGGAGTGCGGACGATGGAGGCATTTCGGACCGGCGCGGCTAATTGAGGGCCGGTTTGTCTTGGTATTTCCAGGGTGTCGTTGTGACCGTGCCGCCGTGCTTGTTGGAGGCTGCGAAAACATCGATTACTCTAAGACTTTCCGCTGTCAATTATTGGCACTAAAGAATAGAAAACCACTTGTTTCTCGAAGCGTAAGACTGCGACTTTCAGAAAATGCGCATGCTGCTCTGGCCCGGTAGTTGTGTGACCGTCGTTGGAACCCTCGCTTCTTCTCGAAAAGGTGGTGAAAGTTAGCGCGTTCCTTCAGCCTTCGGAAGTGACCAATATTGAGAAAGGCTCGAAGAAGATGAGCTATACTGTAGTGACATCCTGTGCCGTTGTTACACGGCAGAAAGCACGGAGCATGTCGGGCTACTTGATGCGAGGTGCAGCGCAACTCATCACAAGTTGCAAGTTACAGCGGTAGGGGGTGGGCAGAAGAGACGAACCAGCAAATGAGTGGTCCTTTGGAAAACCCCAGATAATAATGTGCAGCTGGCGCACGGAAGCACGAGTTGGAGGGGGCAGCCGGCTGTTTCCTTTTGCTCGCTGCGGTTCAGCCAGCGCATGTGTAAGACAGTCGGCCAGCTTCCTTCAGCTTGCGTGCAACGCCTTGGAGGTCCAGTTCTGGGAATGATGATGTAGAGAATGCTACCGTCATGTGTAGGTTGACGTCCAGTCGCATGCGCCGTCAATTCCAGCGTGGTATGGGCCATCCAGAGATGTCTGTGCGTTTTCCTTCCCTCATGACTGGCATAGAACGGCGCCGGTACGCTCACCGAAGCGTGGGCCTGACACATGGTAGCGGCGCATTGAGAGCTGCAAGGTTGGACGGCCATACCGGCCAAAACGAGCATTTTTCCCGTTGAGGACCGAGAGCGAGTCGATCTCCTACGTAGTAGACCCCGGGCTGCCCAAATGCTGCCACGCGTGGTGGCTTATGCTACATCCCGCTACCGGCTGCTGCTCTGAAAAGCGAGTCTTTTCTAAGTCAATCATCATCGTGAGGGACTGGGGCCTGCTAGAAGATGGGCGAGCGCAAAAAAGGCCAAAGCGAGAGATGAGAGTAGAGCGGATTCCGATTGAAGCAGTGTTTGCGTGTGTATCCAAATTTTGTACCTGCTTGAAGTGTCCTGGTAGTGTAGACAATGGCAGTCTTTCGATGCCTACCACAAGTCTTTCTGGATCCTTAATTCCGGATCACTGACGACACTTTCCGCGAGGGCCGGATCATACAGCTTGAGCTCAGTCAGGCTAAGCGCTTAAGCGTCGCGCAGGTTTTGTAACTTAGCCCTCGCCGCGGCGGGGCCACGGAAGCTTTCCCCAGACAACTAACTGTAAGGACGAAAATCAAAGTCGGCGGAAGATTGGAGCGGTGGACATGACAGCAGAGGTGTGTGAGTGAATGTGTGTGTGTGTGGATGCAGGCTGAGGATGGTGTGGGTGAGATGAGTTGGCCCAACGGGCGGCAGTTGGGACCAGCAGCGAGGCTGTAGTGGGACAAGAGGAGGGCAAGGCTCCATACGGCAGGGGTGTTCGGTCGTCAGGAGAGAGGCCACGATCTGTGATGCAGGTTGCGAGGTGTCTTGGATGAGTGGTGTTGAGGTGAGGTCAAGTTGAGCGGTGAGACGACGTGTAATGAGGGAGCGTAGAAGCATGTCAGAGAGACATTGGGGTGAGATCGAGTCGGGACAATTCCTGTCAATTGTCTGATGTTCTGATTTGTGGATAAGAGAAAGCATGAAGTCGAGATAAGCAGTCCAACTGTGACTTGTCCGGCAGCGCAGGTAAGGGGATCCGGGGAAAGGTAATTGCAGTGGACTGACAGCTGCGAAAGGCATGTGTCGAGTCTGAGCGTTGCTTTCCGACCAAGCGTAAGACTTCCTACGGTACATCTCTCGAGTGTTGCTGAATCTACTAAGCTTTCGCAGCGGTCTCTATTGTAATAGCCAGCAGTCGCGTGTGGATAAGATTTGGAGTAGTAGAGTGATTTGTGAAGAACCGGGAAGTGGTGATGTTGGAAAGACTAGAGAGAGTCCGGCCCGAAGTGACGGCGCAGCTCAGCTGAGCTGATGGATTGTCTGCCATGTAAGCCCGCCCCAAAGTAAGCGGTGACGAGGGGAATGAGGCTCCAATGCACGTCTACACCGCCGTAGCAGTATGCAGTATGACGGAGACTGCCAATATACGTAGAAAATGTGTCGTTTACTCTCCTAAGCTCAACGACACCACAAGTTTTCTTTTGTTCCCATGGGTGGCCCAAGTCTTGGTCCATGTTTGGCACGGTGAGAGACAGAGTCAGTCGGGACCAAGGACCAGGATACCGGTTCAACAATCACATGCTTGGCGTGGGTATTATATTCATACCCCAAAGATGATAGAGGATATTTGCCAAACAGGGGTTGATACTGGGATCAAATGACAGGTCCGGATCTGAGCGTGATGAGTGGAAACACAAAGGATCGCTATGCCGCCGTGCTGGCGAAAAGACTTGGGATGGCTGGATTGAGTTTGCAGGCCCCGGCGGAATCTTGTCGAGTTTCCGCAGTGTGTACGTAGACTACGAATGTGTCGGACATGTTTTCGTCTGGTGTTTTTGATACGTGAAATCTCAATGTCCTTTTGCGGTCGAACGAGTCAAGGAAGAGGGCGCTAGTACATAATGCCGCCGGTAATGTTTCCGGAGCTGCGTAATTGAGCCAGGAAGAGACTCAGGAGAGACAAACGCTGCCCGTTGGGTCTTTGCTGGTTAGGGTTAGCGCTAGCCGCGTTGCAAGTTTGTAAGTGAAGAGTGAAAGGAAGACTTGCATGGCAGGCCGCAGACCAGCTTTGCGTTTCCTCCCTTATCCAAAATACGGGTACCTAGCTAAGATCACGATGACAAGGCGATGCGGTCAGTCGTGCAAGTCGAGAGGCAGCAGTGACAACTGACAGCTTGGGGCTAAGCAGGGCTAAGGTAGGTCGAAGGGAATCAGGAAGTGCTAACCCGAGTGCTAGACCACCTTGGGCACATGTAGCTAAGGTAGGTAGTCTGGCTGTCATTCTCTGGCATTGGGTAAGGTGGATGTATCAAGGATCAGGATGAGGTATGGACCGAGAGACAGAGAGGCCAAGACAAGCTTGGCCGGTTCCCGGTCCCGAGGCGAGTTGTGACCGAAACACTTGAGTTTGGATAACTGAGATGTGCAGCGTGTAATGGAATGGAGCTGCAAGGTGAAGTCCTGTACAGTACCTAGTAAGGTTAGGTAAGGAAGGTATGGAAGGTAGCCGGACATCTGGGACCCTGCCTGCCTACCTTACATTACGCCTGCGCCTGCCGAACTTCGCTGCACCTGCTCGTTTGCATTCGCACCGCGGCACCGCTCTTGCACTTTGCACCGATGAAGCGGTGCTGGCGATCCGGTGGCGTCCAATGGCATGCCCCAGTTGGGTCCATCAGGTTAAGATTGAGAATTTAGGAATGCGCAGATGCAAAGCTGTACCTTCCACGTGAGCTCTGAACCTGTCAGGTCTGGCTGAACGGAAGGGGCGAGTGACGAGGTCCTGGACCGCAGTCCGCAACTCCCTCCACCCCGTACCTTACCCAAGGTACGGACCTGAGGTACCTTAAGGTACCTTAAGTCTGTACGAGAAAGAGCCCCGCATTACCTCATCCCCTCCTTCCCGACTCTCACTCGTGCGAAACCAAACCCCAGACTGATGCGCAAACTCGACACTCGAGAGGGAAGGAGCCCTTTTGGGTGAGATGGGATCCTAATTTTCCATCGCGACGACAAGACAAAATTGACAAGGTCTCCCATTCTCTTCTCCTCACTTGCCCCGTTCATCTACCAAGACCCCTACGATATGCCGGAAGCAACTTTTGTGACTTAGGTTGTCTGGGGGCGGTCAGCAACTCAGCGTGCGCCTACGCCTGCCGCCTGCCTCGGTCGACGCCCAAGTACCCTGCATCTGAACACCCAGAAAGGGAAAAAGAAGGAAGAAAAAGAAAAAGTCCACCAGGAAACGACAGAAACACCGAGAGCCCAAACGGAACAAGCACCACAAGCCTCGATCCCCCTTTTCTTTGCCTACGAAGTACACTACTCGGCCGATGCCTGTGGCAGGACACCAAAGTTATTGGAGGTACTCCGTACTCCGTACCTCAACTCGTGTACGGATACAGCTCACGTTCGTTTTGCCAAGCAGCTATTTTCATCCACTTCACTCACTGCCGTCCTCGGTCCCGTCATCACCAAGTATCCACGGGGTATCCTCGCCCGCAAACCCCAAGCCAAATCGACTTTGTCTTCACCTCCATCTCCATCTTGAAAACAACTCTGCGAGCCATTCCGACCCTGTAGTGGAGCAGACCAGGACCTTGCCCGAAGCTTGAGAACTT